CCCCCCCCCCCCCCGTGAGTTACTCCTGCAATAAAGAGATGTCATTATCGACAGGTTTCGATTGCTTCTACACATTCCTCCCATGGAATCTCAGTTACTAGCCAAAACCCAGTCCCAATAGCTTGAGTGCGTCCCGTGCCGGCCCGGCAGCACAGCGGGTATGTGTCAGGAGGATTTGTGTGGGGATTTGTAAGCGGTATCAATACCAACTATCACAGTCTGTAGTGGCAAAGCAAATATTTGAATGAACACAACCAGGTGAGCGCTCGATTGAACAAGGTTCAAAGGGCGACGGTCTACCTGCGTGTCCCAAGAAGCCGCTCGGGTCCCGTGTGTGTGTGTGTGTGTGTGTGTGTGTGTGTGTGTGTCACGTGAAGCCAGGACAATAAAAACCTCCTCGCCGCTTTGCCTCCCAGTATCAAGGTTTTATCCTAGTTTGTTGAACTCGTAGTGCGTGCATGCAGTGTGACTACTGATTACACACAGGGTGCAGCATCTCCACCTGACTCACCTGCCCTGTACCTCAGGTGGTTTGTCTGCATTCCCCGGGCCAACCCCCCCCCCCCACCACCGGCTGACATGTGGAGTGCGGGGGAGTCGTGCATTCCTGTCTCATTCAAGTAAACTTCTAAACGCGGCATGTGATGGGGGTTGCACTGCGGATGTGACAAAATGCAAGTCGTCGCACAGTCACTCGTTGCTGTTGAGAGCTGCCGGGTTCTCTCTATGCTGAGTGGGTGACAGTCAACCATCAGGCGTCCTGATGCAACAGAGCAGTGGTAACTGCTCTGTTGCATCAACAGACAGCCTGGGGGAGGTTGTAGGGTAGTGGAATGCAATATGTGTCTTTTGAGTGGGATATCATTTATAATAGAAAAAGGTTGATACATTGAATGTAGCTTTGTTCCTCATCCACAAACACAGATTAGTAATGAAGTAAAGGGAGTGCAGTTTGTTCCAAAGCTGTAAGGGAGAGGTGATTAACGAAGAAGAAGAAGATGATGTTTTGATTTGAAAGATCAGAAAAGGACTCACGATGTTATCGATCATTAACGCTGAGTAACTACCTGCACGTGTGAGCGATTTAAAGGGTTTTAAACTCGTCACGGGCGGCATCACCAACTTGAGCCTGAGCCTCTGTAGACTTCTCATATCATAAAAAGTTAATATGGAAAACACAAAGTAACACAAGTTAAGAATTATCAGGATATTCAATCAAAATTACCTCTTTTGAAGTGGTTCCTGTGTGCCACATAATGACATAGATTGATCAGGACCCTGTTTTTGCACTAAGTACCAAATGATATGAAGAGCGTACTGTGGCTCTAGGTTGGCGCTGATATCACGTTTAACTCTGGGACATTTGGAAGTATGTTGGGCTGCAACGTTTCAACATTTTGAAAATGGCAATTTCCAGGCCTGGAGAAGGCCGACTTGTCCGCCTTCACAGCCTCGTTGTGTGTGTACTCGGGTGACTGTGGTTATAGTTCGTCTTTAGCCTAACGTTCGCTTTTTACTGCTGCCGATTGCATTCATGTTTCAAAAATCCAAAAGAGTGGTGTTCATTTGTGAAGATTATCTTACTGAACAAAACGTATGCGTCTCATAAATGTTTGTTTACAGAGCTTATTTTCTGCAATAATGCAAAACACAATGGAAAAATCACATTTATATTTTGTCGAGGGAACCAGTGTGATGCTAACTTCCGGGGTCGGCCAAACCCCCCCCCCCCCCCCCAAAAAAGAAACGCGTCATCCCTGCACCTCTCTATATTCTCCCATCATAGTGGGCTGCAATAACAACAAAAAAAACGGTGTCCTTCACTCCCCCTTTTCTCGCCTCGCCCCATCGCATCGACACAGTGATTTGTGTCTCTCTCGGAGAGAGGATGTTTATTGTAGCAAGTGCATTCAGCCTGGAAAAAGTAGGATGCCCCCCCCTGCTGTGACGCCTCCAGTTGTGTGCACTCAGAGGGAGAGAGAGAGAGTAAAGTGTGAGGGGGAGACATCGCTGGTAAACAAGACTATATTGTGCCCCCCCCCTGGGTTGTAATCGGAATAAAAGGGACAGTCAACTTTGACAACTGATGGTTAACGCCAAATCTCTCCGCACCTGAAGAGAGGCACTGGCCTGCAAGTGGAACTGGGAAAAGAAAGTTTTTCCATCTCCTTTCCTTCTGTATTAATACACGAGTAGCAGTCATGAGCCTTTTAGTAGCAATCACAATATCGCAACTGAAGATAGCAGAATGACCTCAGACTTTTACAGCAGGGGAGCTAAGTCAACATTTAAATGTGTCTTCTCTCGTAAGAGTTCCACTTGGAGCTGGAAAACAAGTCTCGTTTTACTTTCGTGGCCTTTTGGCAAACCAAAGTGCAGCGTGCGTCTGTTTCACTGCGCCGTATGCAAACACTTAAATATAAATCTATCTGCTGTATAACATCAGTCTTTGTCCCAAAATCACAATACATTTCAGGGTGTAAAAAGTTCATTTGAGTGATTTTCTATAGGTGCTACATTTAAAATTCAGGCCAATAATATAGAAGAAAATAATTGTTTGCAATGTAAAGATATCGTGGATTAATGCTGCCCCGATGACACAAAGACGCGTCGCTAGAAACCACTGTTCTCTTATGCTAAGGCCCCTGGCGCTAGCTCCTCTCTTGCGCCTCGTATTTCTAGCGGTTTGCACACAAATTCAAATATAACACTTTTCCCAAGGCAGCCAATCAAATCAATCAGGCTTTACTACTGTACCTCTGACTTCCTGGTTTGACGCAGATAGGTGTGGTAGGGCTAGCTAGCTAGTTAGCTGTTGAGCTATGAGAGAGCTATACAGAGTATGTGTTATCATATCTCATGCAGAGATAGTTTCATGTAGACTACAGGGAGCCGGGGAGGGAGCGAGGTGGTGACTTTTAACGCCGTCCAGTCCCAGGGCGTCGTTACGGTAGCGCCCACCCTCCGGTTCCCCCTCAGGTAAACACTGTTAGCTCTGCCAGCACTGTTGCTATTGTTTGCGCTGTTAGCACCGTCAGCTGCTGTCCGTGTCAGCCATGTGGAGGCACTAGATATGCTCAGATTTCCGTATTGAGCACCTTTAACAAGTGGTGGTCGTGTTTCATGAAAAGTGAGTCTTTTAAGGTCAGAGGTGCCTATTCCTCATTGGACAGCAAAACCACAGCTCTAACGAGAATCATTTTTAGATTGTTAGAAGTCGCTCGCCTGCACTAACTCATTGGATTCCTAGAAGCCCTGCATTTTAAGTCAGACTGACTGTGAAACGTGTCACTGAATGCTGCTCCGCTTGCAAATGATGGCGATCAGCCCAATGGGAGCGCTGTATTTAAAGGTCACCATTTCCAACTCTGCCACGACCGCTTCACTACACATTTGACATTGATGAAATCTGGAGGGATGAACTGTCCTTTTATTGGTGCCTCCAAAAGTTGTCTACATCAATTTTACTCAACGGCGGAGCGAGCTCATTCTTTTGTTACCTCACACTCTTGACCCAAAGGATTTAACAACGCAGTAACTACTTTTTTTTTGGGGGGGGGGTTGTGGGGTAGCAGCCCGGATGCATCTTTTTTTTTTTTCTTTCATTTTATTTTCACGCTTGATGGAATGCAGCTCCGTGAGGCCAGAAGGGGCTCAGCCGGAGAGACGGAGCCTGGTGTTTCAGTGGTCCTGTTAGTTCTGGGGAGTGAAGGGCCGTGTGCGACGGAGAGGCAGCGCATCCAGACTAATGGTTTGTTTGTCTTCGCTTGTCTCTGCGCCCTCTTCAAGGGCCACTCTCATTCTCACTCTCGGTGCTGAAGATGTAAGCCTATGGGATCTTCATGCTTCTGTGTCTGTGTTTAAAGCACTACACTGTGAGACCGTTTTCCACCAGGTTTTATTATCCCTCCTGTGATTTATGTGCTTGAACGACACGCTGTAGGAAGCCATGGGGAAAGACACGAAACGGAGTTTGCGTTCACACAGCTCTTGATGGTGACAGACGCTGCTTCCCAGACTCTCAGTTGTGCGCACGGGGGGGAGAAAAAAATGTACAGCCTCAACTGTGAATCCAGCACAGCCTTGGGAGCCTGTAAAGCACTGAGTGGCGATTGTTTCCATCGCATCTCATCCCTGATCACCTGTAAGTCCCACATCGGGGGGGGGGGGCGGCAGCATCTGAAGCCACACAGGCTTTGTTCCGTCTTGACTCGATAGCACCTTTTGTCGGAGAATCTCTGAGCTTCTGGGATCTGCAGAGGAGATATAGGGTCCGATTCCAAGACGTGGCATTTGGGTTTCTCATTGGAAAAAAAGAGAAATAATAACACCTGCCTGTTCTCTGTTGTTCTGGAGGTGAACCCAGAGTGGCCTAGGATGACACAGGAAGTAGAGGGCTGAGTAGATTTTGGAAGGATTGCTGGAGAAGGAGGCGGGGGAAGGACAGGTGCTGCACTGTGTGTGTGTGTGTGTGTGTGTGTGTGTGTGTGTGTGTGTGTGTGTTAGTCTGAGCTCAGCTGGGACTGATTTAATGGAGGGAATGGTTCTTACATGATAGAAAGGAAAGAAAAAGAGAGACGATGGAAAGAGAGGAAGAAATGGAGTGTGAGAGAGAGAGAGAGACAGGAAAAGGAAAAATGAAACGCAGTAAGAGAGAGAGACAGAGGGGTACATAAGTGCGGATTATAAGTGATGACTGTCCTGCGTCCAGAGGTGAGCCGGCGACACCAGGCCGCTGAAAAATGAAACCGCAAATGGAGCAGCCAGAAATGACAGATTCTATCCAGCCTCATTCCAGCCACACCTGTGGTTATGCCCCATCGTTATTTGTCAGCATCCTTCTCCGTCCGTCACGGAGAAATCCACCCAGGCCTTTTTGGCACTGGACCACGATGAGGCCGAGGGGGCGTCAATGTTTTTTTTAGGGAGGGAGAGAGAGGAGGGACATTTGCTTGATGTATGTTTGAAGGAGGTTCCTGGCCCCGCCAGCACTCTCATCCATCATTGTTTACAGAGTAGGAAGATGTGGGGGGGTGTAATGGTGTGAGTTGAAGCGAGGGTGGCGAGACGGGGGACGCCAAAACAGAGATGCCCGGGTTGTGGGAGCAGAGGGATGTTGGCGGAGTGCGGCCCCCTTATCTCTGCCCACCGCTGGGAGGTCATGACCCCTGCCCTGGACGCCACATGTGGTTTAACATCTGTCTTTTGTCATTCTAGTATCTTTTTCCTTTTCTTTGCTTGTAGAAATACAAATTATTTTTTTAATTATTTTGTTAAGACCGGAAATGAAATAAGAAGATTGTTTTGTGAAGACTTCTGTCAAATACAAAATGTAGTGCTATAAAAACTACAAATTTTGTAGTTTAAGTGGAAAAAGAAGTAAAAAAAACAAAGTGAATCATGGACTCCAACATTGTTGCTCATGCTCTGATCTAATGAAAGAAATGAAATAAAGGTCCGATCAGGTGTGGGTTGAGAATCGGATCCTTGGTCTAGACTGATCAATAGTTTCTCAAAAAAAACCTCCCTCAAGTTGACCCTTACGCCCACCTTTATCCTCTCCTAGCCTGCCTGTGGAGTGTTTGCTCAACACACACTTAAGATCCCACTGGAGCTGTGCTCAGGTCAGCTTGAACACTGCCAGTGTTTACAGAGGAGCTCCGCATTACGACTTACCTGCCATTTGTCTTCTTTCTCTCTTTCGTACTTTTCATCCCCCTCCCCCCTCACAAGAATCCAATGAAAAAATCACGAATACAACTTCGCCACTTTTCCGAATTCTTCTTTGAAGTGCCTTTGAGGCAGCGTGCCGCGTGTTCACCGGAGACGCTCGGAGAGACGAACACTGTCAACAGATGAGTGGAATTATCGACACACACACACACACACACACACTCTCTCAGACAGAGTTAGAAAACAGCAGATGAGGCCAGCGGAGGGGTCACTTCTTAATGGAGTTGCGACCTCTTGATGTCATCAGGTGTCTGAGCCCCAACTCACCGTAACCTTGGCAACTGTCTTTGCCTTGGTGTTTTGGCCCCTCCTATATTACATAATATATTTAGTTTTTGGCCGTTTTTTCACCTTTTCTCACTTTTCACCCCGACAGCGCCGTCCTTGAGAAAGAAAAGAAAAAAACACTCTCAGCTTCTGTTGAACCTCCGCCAGCCTCTCCTCCCTCCCTCCTCTCCTCCCTCCCTCTCTCCATCTGCCCCTCATCCCTCCATCCCCTGTCAGTGCTCCCTCACAGGGATGAAGCTCATTAGCGGGCTGTCTCCCTCCCTCCCGTGTTTATATTCAGAAGCTGCAGGTATATTGTGGTGATTTTTTTTTATTTTTTTTTAATGAGGTGTGGAGCAGTCGGTCACACACAGAGAGGGAGAGCGACGGAGAGAAGTGTTGACGCCGCCGTCGCTTCCGCGTGTCGATTTCTTCGACACACGGAACAACTCCTTTCTCATAATTGAATTACACAGTCTGCCTGTTTTTTTTTGTTTTTTCGTTCTTCCTAGTAACACCTGTCAGGGTTTTGGACGTCCTCTGCGTGAGTCATCGTTGGGGATGCTGCAGTGTATCAATGTGTGTCTCAGAATAGTATTGGGCACCACAGATGAGGACCGTCTGATTTTTGTTTCCTGATGCTGTTAAGTACCACTTTTGTTTCTCTCTGAACACGCAAAGGAAACACGGGTTTCAGCTTTACCAATTTGGAAAAAATAAAACTAATTGTGCAACTGTAAATTAGCTTGAACAGTTAAGGTAATGGTTGGGTTGAATCAGATCATTTTTCCTTGTTCCAAGCAGAAATGCCAAACATTGGCTGCTTCTAGCTCCTTGAATGAGAGGATTTGAGGCTTTTCTTTGTCATAATATGACAGTAAATCAAAACATCTTTGAGCTTGGGACTGTCGGTCAAATAGAACAAGACATCTGAAGATCGCAACTTGGGCTGTGGGAAATGGTAAAAGGCACCTCATTATTTTAGACCAAATGATGAATCAATTATTCATAATCATTTTTAGTTACAGCCCTAACTGAACACACTTTCTTTTGTGGAAGGCTTGATTTGCTGTATGCATTCCATGCATCTTCTCCTCTGAAGTGTGATGCTTGTAATAAAGTGCGCGACCAAAGAGAATTGTGAATGACTTCATTACATGATCTTGTCAGAGCCCAATAATGCCCGGCAGATGTTCTTAAATGAGTCCTCCAACTCCAACTTACCAACGATGACTTCCTGTGTTCCATGTCATCTTGGCCTCAGTATTCGATGTCTTGAAATCGCACATTGACTATAACCTTTCTCCTCATCCCCAGAGCATAGTGGCCAAGTACGGCTCTCAGTTTCGGGGAAACTCTCAGCACGATGCCCTGGAGTTCCTCCTCTGGCTTTTGGACAGAGTTCATGAAGATGCCAATCACAGCCCCAACAACAACAACATGAACAGCAGCAGCAGCAGCAGCAAGACCAAAGCCCCCGCCAAGGTGAGTCCACCGTTTGTTACTGCTGCTGAAAATGTGAAATGTGTTTGTAATGAAACCTGTTAAGAGTTGTTTCGGCTGCTTCAGTCTTGATCACATGCATTCTCTCTGTTTCTCACACACACACACACACACACACACACACACAAGGTCACTTATCTCGTGCACAGGTCTTTTTTTTTTTTTCTTTCTTTTTTTTTGACAAACTTGAAGGACTAGTTGTAACAAAAGCCTGGTTTTCTTTGTGAGGTATGTAGATCCGACCTCATTGTCCAAAACTCACCACGGCGGATGACATCTCCGATGCGCTCTGTGGCCATCCTCCTTGAGAGGATGACCACGGCACAACGTTGTTTGTTTTAGTCGAAGAAATCACGTCACTCGTGTTAACAAAAGAAGAGGGGGTTTTTCGGAGGGCGTCTTGGAGCTGGTGGATGCTTCCACCTGCAGTTTAGTTTGAACCCATTGGTCCGAGACGATCCTCTGTACGCAGTGACTCTTGTCCTGCAAGACGTCAAAGGAGAAACCGTTGAAATGGCAGACGTCCGTACTTTGCCCTCTCTCTCTCCCTCTCTATATATATCTGTCTCTGTCTGTCTTTTGTTTTTGTCCCCGATGTGGAAACATCCACCTCATGACCTTGCACTTGGAAATGAGCTGGGACGGGACGTGATGCGGTGAGAGGAAATGAAGGGCAGCCGCATCATGACTGAGTTGATGACTTGAACATTTATTTATTTTTTAATCATGACCAGAGTTGCCAAGCACCAAACGCCAGTAAAATGTGTCTTTGATGCCTAAATGTATTGGATTGGACTGAAGTGCACTTATGTGCAATTTCACACCGAGTGAAAGAAAATCCACATTAGTACAACAACAAGAGTACATGACAGGAGAATTGTTTGTCCTGTAGTTGTAAAGTAACCCTCCATCTGCCTGACTTTATTCATGTAATGTGTAGTCTTAAACTCCTTCCAGCTTTGAAAATGGCTAGGTGCATTGTTTTACTGTATATTGATATTTACATTATTCTATGTTTCTTGCACATACTATTATCAGCCAATACGTGACTCTACCGACTCTCGTCAGAAAACAAGTAACTCCAGAAATATGGTGAAAAAAGAAGTGACTTCTTGGACCTTGTACACTATAGTACAGAATATAATTGAATATGCAATCCTGCGAGCGTTTGTTTGCACATTATGACGTTAAACACTGGATAAGAAGACCTGCGGTGATCATCCCGCTCCGTGTCAAACCCCTTGTAATTGCACACCCTTCATCACATTTGCTAAGTAGGCCTATCGTCCCTTTTTCTCCCAGTCGTCCTGGAGTTTGCCGGTTCCGCCTCCACTTCTGGGCCGGCTGACGACCCCCCCCGCCCCCTCGCCCGCCCAGGCCTTGTCGGTAGATGAGTACTGTTATGAGCTGAGCTGTCGCCGCGCTGCCACCCACTGCCCAAATGAATCATGAGACCAACGTCTAAACGTTAAACCATTGGTTAATCACGTTAATGCGCAATTGCAAACAAGTGCTCTCAAAGCCGCGGTGTTTAGATTCCCAGTGACGCTATATGCTAAAGCTAGCGAGCGACAACACGAGCAGAATTCCACACAGGACGGGTGGGATGAGGAGAGGTGGATGGGTCAAACAAACACTGGTGTTTCCTCCAGGAGGCCGCAGTTTGTGCCGTGCGTGAAACGAGAAGCCAATGTCGATTTATTTGTGACGTGACTTCCGTACTTAAGCAACGCCACTTCCGTAGATATTTTAACGCAAACCACGATCTTTTCCTCAACCTAACTAAGTAGTTTCATCGCCTAAACCTTAGTTGTTTCCTGTGAAGATGGAAGTTTATTTTGGAAAGACGGTATGCGCGTAACAAGCGAAAACAGACTCGTGTTGCTGGACTTTTGCAGGAAAAAAGCACGAAAAATTAGGAGTAATATTTCGTAAGATATCAATAAAACGGGGATGAATTTATATCATTGTATAAAGAGAGTGACATGAGAAGATCAATCTCATGTCTGTATATCACTCTTTTAAAGTGATCAGTGACTCGTCTGAAGCATTTAAAAAAGGAATAACATCAATAGAATCATTCTATACAATGTAGCTTCTTTGCATTCTAATAGAATGTAAAGAAGTTACATTGTAATACAATGTAGCTTCTTTGCATTCTAATAGAATGTAAAGAAGCTACATTCTATTGGAATTGTCTTTTGAAGATGAACAGGACATTTTTCAGTTTCAAGTAATGACTGGGTTGTTACTTTCGGTGCTGCTTTAGTATTGATCATGTTTTGATATTTGTGTCCTTTCTCTAAACACTGACCTGATGCATCAAGTGGATATTTTTTGCTGAACACAATATGATGCATTTGCCCTCTACATCCTCGGAATGAGCATACTTATAAACGCACTGTTACAACTCCTTCATAGTGTCATATTGCTTTTCGGAGAATTATGATGATAAGTTCATAGCAGATGCAAAAGTATACTTATGTACAATATATTATGTTGAACATTGTTGCTCCTGGATGGATCACAGCCAACCCAATTATTTTCAACACAGCTTCATGTCCTTGGTCACGGTGCCACAGCACTTAAAAGAATAAACTTCATAATTCTGAGCCTTTGCTTTTTTATTAACAGCATTTACTTGTACTTTTTCTTTCAATACTTAAGTTTATTTAATATCAGAAAATTACTTTTGATACTTAAGTACAATAAATATCAGATACTTTAGGACTTTTACTCAAGTAGTATTGTAATAGGTGACTTTTACTTTTACTGGAGTCATTTTCCAGTAAGGTATCTTTACTTTTACTCAAGTATGTGTTTTGGGTACTTTATACACCACTGGTGGTGTTAAACAGCTTACGGCCGCCGCTCTCATTAGGCTGCCAGTGAATCGAGGTTTCGCAAAGCCGGCTTTCCTCCACCGCCGCGGAGAAGAAGAAAATCACTGGCTTTCTCACACCGGGAGGGAACATGATAAAAAAACAAAAAAACATGAAACACTTGTCCCCCTTCCCGTAAATTGATTTCATTCATGTGGCTCAGAGCGCTCGTGCTTATTCTGCCTGTGTAATGTGAAGAGACTTACATGCTCCTCTGTTGGTTTGTGTGTGTCTGAAAACGGCTGAATAAAAAAACACAAACACATGAGGTAATGTCCACAAAAGGCATTTACACACGTTACCTGGCAAAGTCCAAACGCTTCATCAATAAACCATAAAATCACATTCGACAACATTGAATGGTCACCAAATGAAAGTCAAGCATCTCCGTCCGCATGCTTCCTCTTGCTCTTTCTATTTACAGTCCGACCTGTAAAACAAAGTAATGGGGTCCATTAAATGTACATATATAATTAAATTTTTGACTTTATAATCTTGCAAATTTCTGAGTTTTTTTTCTGTAAATTTGCTGCTTTCTTGTCAGATAACATCTGAGTTTTTTCCCCATAAATTGAAGACTTTAATCTCAACATTTTTTTTTACCCACAATGACCCTAATACGCAGTCATCGACCTGCGTCCAACCCAGGTGTTGAGGGAGGCCTGCCTGATGTGTGTTGACCCATTGGAACAAACTGGGGAATGGGGCTTTAGAGAGGAACTCCAAATAAAACCTTTAGCCACAGAAATCACTTGAAAAGGAAGTCTCCTCACTACTTTTTTTTGCCGATGTCAATTCGCTTAGAAAACCCTGTAAATAGTTTGACAAATATGGAGAGAAAGATGACCATAGATCCCTCCACAGGACCCGATGATCGTTGTAGTCCTGGGACGGTGAGACGGAGTGTGGTGGCTCAGCTGAGCGGTGAAAGGAGAAGGAGGCAGGGAAGTGACTTTGATCTCTTTGTCCGTCACCGGAGCCTGGGAAACACTCATGTAGGACTATATAGGTCACGCTGAGCTGACAGAAACCCAACAGTGTCAACATGATCCCTATCAACTTTCCCAGGCATGTAGTGAAAAGCACCTGACCCACACATAGACCTCAGGTAGTTTCTCATGTATTTTCATATCGACTTAACCGAGTTGAAAGTAAAGTAAAACAACTTTTGAGGAACTGCGTTTTACAATGTGTATTTTTTACTCTCTAAACGTATCACTTCTTCGGTTTGCTCAGTGGCCTGTCTTAAGTTTATTTTAACAACCGCACACCTGTCAAACAGTCTGCTAACAACTTCCGTAACCACCTCGGGATAACAGCTCTCCGCGCTGTAGTAACTACGTTTGCATCCTTTCGACCTGTGCATTACATGCCTCTTTGTCACGTTTTGTTTGACAGCCTCCTGATGACCTATTTTTTTCGTTGTTGTTCTGTGATTTATCCTCTTGAGGTGTGGTGAAATTCTCAAGGAACAGGTGTAACGAGAATCCTCTTAAAATGAGCTCATCTTTCAGGAAAACAACCATCTAGAGCCGCATGTGTAGATTCCCACAGATCAGAGCAAATATGAGCCGAGAGCCTTGTGTCCAGTCACATGTCTCCTTTTAGATGTGCAACTGCAATTTGTTTTAACTGGATATCGAGACATTATGGGCATATCTGGATATTTATTTTGTATTGATTTAGGACGTGTGTGTGTGTGTGTATATGCGTGTGTTCGTAGGTTCCTCACACAAGCCGAATATATTATAGGTGAACAGGACACGATGAATTATATTACTACTTTATTATTTGGATTCCCAATAAGCTATCGACTCAAAGAGGCAGCAATCAATCAATCAATCATGTTTTATTAATAAAGCACCTTATCAATACAAAAAAACACATAAAACACTGTGTGAAATGCTTTGCAAAGAAGAAGTTGTTTGTGCAGCACACCTGCTGTGCGAGCAGTGTGACCAGTCCGGCCGCTTCACCCGAGCGACATTACGTAACACGAGGCTGTGAGCACACACAAAGGCGGCCGAGTAATGTTAATCCTCCTTCCAGCGGGACCTCGCTGAACTCGCTCGGTTTCCCTCTCGCCTCGCTGGCACCGCA